AGGGTTGTATGGTTGTATGGTTGTAGGGTTGTAGGGTTTTAGGGTTTCTCCCATACATATCCTAGGTGTAGCAGACGCAGGGTTGGAGATAGGGGTAAGTACTCATGCACGGACGAGCATTATATAAGGGTTGTAGGGTTGTAGTGTTGCAGGGTTTCTCCCACACACATCCTAGGTGTAGCAGACGCAGAGTTGGAGATAGGGGTAAGTACTCATGCACATACGAGCATTATATAAGGGTTGTAGGGTTGTAGTGTTGTAGGGTTTCTCCCACACACATCCTGGGTGTGGCAGACGCAGAGTCGGAGATAGCCGTAAGTACTCATGCACGTACGAGCATTATATAAGGGTTCTAGACTTATAGTCCTTACACACAACCTACACCTTCCCACTAGGGTTGTAGTGTTCTAGGATTATAGTGTTCTAGGGTTCTAGAGTTTCTCTCACATACCTCCACAGCCTCGAGTCGGCCACCTTGACCATGAACGGCACCTGCTTCTTGGTACCGTACGTGGCCCACAGATAGTCCACAATCGCATCCGACTGGTACATATCCTTGCCCGTATTCTCGTCAATTAAAAAGGGGAACATGGCCTTTCCTCCTCTCTCTTTGGCCTCTCCACGAAACCGGCTACTCGCCTCAACGGCCCCGTGGAGTTTGAAAGTGGTGCGTGGACACTGGACAGGGGCAGTAGGTAAGGACGGGAGCGTTGTAAGCAGGGGTGTGTGTTGATGTATGGGGTGGTTGTAAGCGTTTGGATGTGTAAGTATAGAGTGTGTAGTGGTGTGTATAAGGATGTTTATTGATGTGTATATGTATGTGTGTTGATATGTATGAGTATGCTTATGAATGTACATAAGTATGCATATGAACGATGTATACATGAAAGTATGTACATTTATGATGTCTATAAGTATGCCTTTTTATGCAGATCACTGTGTAAATTAAATTATATATATAAGTATGCAAATTTAAAGATGCATACAAGTATGTATATTGGTGTGTATATATAAGTATGTATATTGATTATGTATATAAGTATAAGTGTGCTTATTGATGTATACAAGTATATAGCGTGATGGTATGTACACGGTTTATTGGTGGGTAAGAATGCTCTCACGAGCCCCACGTTACCTGCTCTTGACCTCACAACTCTAAAACCCTAAACTCTGGTAACCCTAAAACTCTAACCCCCGACAACTCTAAAGTAAGCTCAATGAGTGTATGTGAAGAAAACTTTGTCAGTGCATGTTGAAAATCTCACACATGACAATGGGCATTTCGTATGCAAATACATAAAGGAAACAAACAAATCAATAAAAAAAACGTTTAATAAAACAAACATATCAATAGAACAAACGTTAAATGAAACAAACATATCAAGAGAACAAACGTTGAATGAAAATTTTTTTTTTTAATAGAACGAACGGTAAATAAAACAAACGTTAAATAAATCAAATATATCAATAGAACAAACGTTAAATAAAACAAACGTTAAATGAAGCAAACGTTAAATAAAACAAACATATTATAAACATAAACGTTACATAAAACAAACATCTAGAATACAGATATGAGACGTGCGAGTGTGTTTGCATTTCGTCATACCGGTCTGATTTCGGCGTCCAGGTCCAGGATACACAAATGTTCTCTAACCTATGAAATGGAATGGAAAATCAGACAAAAACAAAATCAGGCATCATACCCAAAAGGATAGGGGTCGTTCGATTGTGAATAGTTTGATACATACAAATATATATGTATGCTATATATATATATATATATATATATATATATATATATATTATTT